CAGCTTTGGAGATTTTAAAGTTCTGGAAAGTAAGGGCTAGGTTTACTTCCTTGAAAGTCCCTAAGACCTAAATCAGTGTTTTATACAGATTGATTTTTCAATGTTCACTTTAAAAGACTTTGTATGACAGTATTCTTTACATAATCACTTCTGGTAACTGCTAGTAAATTTCCTCTGACATAGGTTCTGGAAAGAAAAACAATTTACTGGGAAGCAAACGACTATTAAGGACACACCAAGTACAATGGAATAAAAAAATCTACAACTTGATGGATTTATTCTAGCAGGAATACGTTTGAATCAACTATACCACATATTCTGTTTTCTCTACAAATAAGGAAACTCCAAATTGTTGACTGTTGAGTTTAAAAGTCATTCCTTCCTTAACCATTTAATCCTTGCTATAAGTATTAGTGGGGGAAAAAAATCTCAGCTAGGGATAATGAAAACAGCATGACTTAAGGAAACGAGATGGAGGCTCCAAAGCATTTCTGGATGATAAAAAAAAAAAAAACCCAAAACACAAAAAACAAAAAAACCAACCCAAACCATAACTGTTTTCAATATTCAAACAGGCTGACGGCTGAGTGGATCAAAAATTATGCAATCATACAAATGAAGATTTAACATATAGAACTCTGTAGAAGAAGGGCAGGAAGGGGCTTTTTAGGAGAATGAACCAAAGAGAGAGTCTTGAGGGCAGCTAGGTTAGAAACACAGATTCTGAAGCAGAGGAGGGCAAGGCTGAAGAACAGGGAGGAAGCTACAACACTTCCAGCTCTTAAGGAATATACCTTCCTAATTGTGAGAAGATACCACAAGGTTGAAGACATTAAAAAAAAAAAAATTCAGCCATAGGAAAGTATTGTCCAATGCTATTTTCAGTTAATATGAAATTATCTCAGGAACTGCAATATAATATGCAACCTTTAAAATTCAAAGTAGAGGAAATATTGTATGTAGTATCTACTGGCTCTCTAGTTGCCTCTTAAAGGAATTAAAACAAAGACAGAGAAGGTAACACCACAAAGAATTAGACAAAATCATTTACTCTTTGGTTTACTGCATAACCATGTCACACCAATCTGCCATTCTTTGGGTGGGAGGAGTTATTTCTTTTGCTAATGTGGATAACAAACAAAAAGTACCTATGATAAAACTTAATTAATGGGAGAGTTTTCCTAAGGGAAAAAGTAACGTCAAATGGGTTCACTAAGCAAAGGGAAATTCTTCGGCAGGCTAAGAAACACCTAGTAAAATGTATCAGAGGAAGGCTCCAGATCCAATTCAACAAGTAACCACTTCCTCCTGCTATAGCTCATTCTGAAGTCAAACTGGGAAACACTGCTATTTTCAGTGTATATCAAGCCATTAGTAAGCAAAACTTAAACTATTCCAAGTGTTAAAGCATTGTCATAGCCAAAAACCACAGAAAATAATAGAACAGCAAAATTAAAAACATAAAGTAAAATTTTAGACTTTTTCTGGATGACACACTCAATACATTTCTAAGGTGATGAATTATTCCTAGAGAGAATCTAATGAAAAAAGTGAAGAATATGACTCATTTAATTAATATCATAACACCTTTTCAGCTCTGGAAGACAGAAAAGTCAAAGCTATACATTTTAATAGGTCCCACATACTCGACCTGTCATTTGTGTTCTTAAAACATTGTCAAAGGCTATGCCCTGTCCAAAAGAATGTTGCCACTTTATGAATTCACTGCAGATTTATATATTTTGCTTTAAACATAAAGAGGCAAGAGTCTGAAATGATGTAGAACATAACCTTGGTATAAAGAGTCCCTGAAAGGAGGTCATGTATAATTACAGATTGTTTTTTTGGCACCCAATTCTGGATTTCTCATGGAATATGGTCTAAAATATTTATTTAAAAATTATATTTTCAATGATCTTTACCTTTATTTCAATCAGTTTAATGATGAAACACACCTGTTCACTGAAGCAGAACAGTGTCAGGCACAGTCACGCATGCAGCCTGCATCACACATCACCTGAATGTGGCAGTTTTGCTTCTGGATAACTTTCTACTGTCATTCAGTTCCTCCCCAGCCAACCACTAGCCCACTCACCCTTACTCATGCCCAGATGTATAAACGATTAAAAAACAATAAAACAATGGGCTATTGATGCAGAGGGTCAAACTATGGAACCCGGAGGTACCATAGATTTACCAACTCTAGGCCTCCATCTTCTCGTCTATAAAACAGACACTGGCCAAGCATGGTGGCTCACGTCTGTAATCCCAGCAGTTTGGGACGCCAAGGTGGACAGATCATTTGAGGTCAGGAGTTGGAGACCAGCCTGGCCAATATGGC